AGATATGTATACTAAAATCGAATGAAACAGTACAAGCGCATGAGTATCAACCTGAACAATAGTCCTTGATGAAAACGATAAACATTGGAACACGTTCGTGTCGCCTGGCCGCCTGTGCAGACTCTTTCTGAGCTGACTATTATCCATCCCGCAAATCGCAGACCAAATCTCTTCTCTGTTATAATGGAGTCCCATTTATTGTACTCTCAAAACCAGAAAACTGTCGCTTCGAGTTCTGGTAAGAATGAGTATCTAGCTACACCAGAGACATCAAGCTATATCTTCTGGGTCCGTAACATTATTCGCACTCTTGCTATGCCGCTTCTACGCCCTACCATGATTTACTTTGATAACCAATCTGTTGTGAAAGTGGCACTTGACACTGGCACACCTAAGAGCATAAAAGATGCACACATACGTATACGCACATTTGTGAACGTATCAAAAAAAGAGGTTTTACTGTCCAGTATGTGTGTACGGTTGACAATCCTGCTGGTTGACTGACGAAGAATCTCCATCGACCCAGACACACTAAGTTTCGCGGATCGACATTTAAGCTACCCTCAACCAGCTAGCTGCCTTTATCGGTCACTCGATTATGGCGCTCGCCTCGGCCCTGAAGCGCATTCCCACCTGTTGTATTTTTTTTTAGCACAGGCCGTCAGCAACCTACCATACATAGTGACAGCCTGGCCGCCTGTGCATGCATACTCTGATTGGGCAGACTGTCTTACATCCCATAGATCGCAGACTGGATCTATTATCTGTTATAGCGGGCTCTCATTTATCGCGAATATATATATAAACAGAAAACTATCGCTTTAAGCTCTGGAGAGGTTGAGGACGTAGCTGCATCTGAGACAATGAGCAACATATACTTGGTCCATAACCTTATTGGCACTTTTACTACACCGCTTACACGCTGTACTGTGCTATACATTAATGATTCCGCATCAGCTTTATCATCAGCTATGCACATCACATCTTGCCGTCGTCATACATTATTTGCCGTATAGTCTTTATATATATGGAGTGAGGCAACGTTCGGTTGTAGAACGGAATTCGAGATCACATTCAGTTACGAAGTTTCTGTCGCAGTGATCAGACTGCAAACCAGAGTATAGTCTATTCAGATGGCCAAATTATGGTTCTATGAGGCGCATATCAATCGCTCCGTTCGGATATACTTTAGCGAAATATATTTCTATAATCTAGCGCTGTGTAGTTGTCGAATCTACAATATTACAAGCCATTGTGTTGGTATTACAGTTCAGAGCCGAGGCATGCGCCATAGTAGAGTGACCAGCAAAGTCAACGAGCTGGTCAAGGGTTGCAGCGATGTCGTTCCACGTCACGTTAACAGCAAACCCAAGCGCTCCAAGGAGTTGACGATATTTTTCTTTGAAGGCTGGTGAGCTTGCTAATATGGCTGGGTGAACACCGATACCTGGGGCATGTCGCGGAAAGATTAAGTCAAGATCGAATAAATTGACCAAGTGTTGGATGTATGCCTGTTGGTCAATAGTATTAGCACCGGAATTGTGCTGTGTGATGAAGATTGTTTGGAAGGTTCATGGGGTATCAACTCTTCAATACCGAGTTCTTGATAATAGCAGGGGCAACCGTGTCAACATCCAAGATAGCTTTCATGTTGCGCTAGGCATGAGTAAAAATACATTCACTAACGGCAATTTGAGTAAACAAAGGGACAAAGAGTTTAGATTATATATGATAGTTCCTATAATCGCCCTACTTGCTCAAAATCATACAATCACTCCTTGAGATTCAAAACCATATGCGGCGGACATAGACGATTTCAACACTACCTTTGGAAGGTTTCATATATACTACATTGTCAATAATGACATATAAGGTCGCCGCAGCATCTAGGGACCAGATTATCAGAAAGGCCAAACTATACCCCAAAACCACAGGACTATCAAGCCGGATCTAAGATTTCTGATATTATAGTGATCAGAATATGGCGGTGGGATTCCTGGTAGATGATACCGGGACCTCAGTGTGTGAGAGGAACACTCAAGTGTAATATGAGTCTAGTGTAGACACAACGACAATAAATGAAGACTCAACGCGAGTCCTTCAGCCTAGGACTTTTACCTAGCGGAGAGATTCATACTTTAGAAGAGGTCTATTGTGTTCTTTGGTTGTATATTATCAGCTACTCTCAAACTCTACATTTTCAAATATATTCTTACTATGGTAATCAGATAACTAAGATATATCCGAGTGCACAGAACAAGAGTGTCAAGGTTATCTTAGCTAAATTCATTACGAACTTGGTCTAGACTATGAGTAGCCGTCGAGTAGGAGCCAATAGGTGGGTATCCAACAACAGAGACGAGCATCCGTATAAGCGAGAAAGAAGCGGAGCCAGCCAGGACAGACAAAGAGGGGCGGAGGGGCGGAAGAGAGAAGACTGAGCCTCTTCCCAGAAGAAAGTATGTGAAGATTATTAACCAAGGTGATTGTGTCAACTGATGACGTGATTGTGATCAACAAGCGATAATATATATACAAAAAAGAACAGACTGATTTTGACTGATTTATCAATATTGGAATAATATAACCCAGAAAACCAGTAAGTCATACATGCAATACCGTGCACGAACGAGTGTTCTAATAGAATTAAACATACAAGTTGCATAGGTACCATGTACAATAAGGTACCATCTACAACATACACACAAAAGCACAAGTATCATAAACCTGTCATAAGTGCTGTATACGAATCATATCAATTATATGTAAGAATAAGGGATATGCATGTCTTAAGAATATACGAGATACAAATTAGAAGCAAATTCAGTATGAAAATGGTTACATACTACTAGAGACCAACGCAGGCGTACAGGTATAAGAAGTATATACCTATCGCCAGTCTATAAATCAACCAACAAACAACCCCTCGAATACAGAAGGAATGCGTATAAACGAACAGACAAACGCCTGACAGTCAAGTCACAAACCATTCCATTCAAGGTTTGCAACTCGACATTCACAGGTTCAAAAAAAATCACCGAACACAATGACAGAGGTATGGACAAAAAAACTCATACACACAAGTAATCAAAGGGATATGTGTATACACACACACACACACATACATATATATATATATATA